CATAAATTTATAGTAACAATAAATCTGGCCTCTGTATATTTAATTATTTTATTCGTAACAAGTATTCAACTTTTGGCCTTTAATAATGTATTCAAATTTTAGCAGCATTTAGTTTCTGTATGCTATTAATACACCAAAGCGCTGTAAAAGCCAAAAGTTATACACTTTAAAACTAATCAAAAATTGTAGCAATACATAATAGTGTAATAACTCTATTGCATATTTTTTTTTTTTGCACTATTATTTTCAGCATTCCTTCTCACGATTATGCATTTTGGTGACATTATATAAAGATTTTAAGATGGATATATCATATTGTCATAAAATAATATCGCGTGCATCATTTTAAATATATGTGCAATATTTGAAATATGTGCATGGGCAACAAAGATAATTTTTCTGAGCCTGGATTTTCAAATTATTATATACCTATATAGAGTGATATCTTATATAGAATGCACGTTATTTTAGAACATACATGGATGTTATTTTGAAATTATCTATGCTATTCTCATTGTCTAAATAATGCCCATACCTGTTATTTCGCAACAATATGATATATCGATACTAGAGCGTCTAAACTTATGCGATTTCATTGTTCAAACAACAAACAATTTCTGAAGTCGCATAAGTTTGAACACTCTAATCGATACAATTTATATATAAACACATCATATTACTAATTACTCTTAATATTAAAAACTTTATATTAGCATTTAAAAATATGACCGATCAGACATATAATCATACTAGTTCAAATAATAGTGAAGTTACAGCTTTACAAGATATTTCGAGTGCTTCCGAAGAAGAATATTCTGATCAAGTAGAATTATCGTCAATATACGAAAAAAAAAGAAAACATACTGGAGGAAAAAAGATGATAAAGTATGGAATGATGTTATTAAAGGTGATAATTTAGGGCAGGGATTTTATAACACGAAGTGTAAGTGGTGTGCTACAAGTTGATTAAGAAGGCGTTCACATGAAATGAAAGTTCATTTAGCTAGAAACTGTGATAATGCACCCGAAAACATAAAAATCAAATGGCGAGACTCTTTAGTAAAAGAAACTTCAAGACCAATAGCTCGAGCAAAAAGTTCAAAGCAATCAAATATTACTACACATTATCAACAAATTACACCTATTTCCGATACTAAGGCTAATAAACTTGATCAAGCAATTCTTAAAGCATGGGTGTGTTGTGGATTTCCTTTTGTACAATAGAAAATCTATTTATTATTGATCTTTTTAAACTCGCTATTCCAGGATATACTTTACCATCATGTACTACTCTTTCTGGCAGACTTTTGAATTAAGAAACTGCTAGAATTGAAAAAAAAATTAAAAATAAATTAGAAAAAGAGGAAAATCTTATGCTTGGTAAGTTTTAATTTTAAAAACAATACCTAAATAGCGCTATATTTTGTATCATACTGCATAAAATATTTCCAAAAAAAATAGTATCCTCTTGATCAAGATTTGGGTATTATTCACCACCTATCTTGAATAATACCTGAAGTATAACTATATTTAATTTATTATTTTCATATCCCTTAGATTGTAACACAGGCAAATTTGCCTGCATATTTTAAAATTTTTAATAAAATTTTAAATATTGAT